AATGGAAGATGAGATGGCGTCAATGAAATCAAACCAAGTGTGGGAATTGGTTGATCTACCTATGAGCCGTAAAGCAATTGGGAACAAGTGGGTTCTTAAAATCAAACGTAAGGCTGATGGTAGTATCAAAAGATATAAAGCTCGCCTAGTAGCTAAAGGGTATACACAACAGGAAGGAATCGATTATGAAGAAACCTTTTCACCTGCTGTGAGGTTTACTTCAATAAGGCTAATTTTGTCAATAGTGGCTAATTTGGATCTTGAATTGCATCAAATGGATGTAAAAACTGCATTTCTTAATGGAGAACCAGAAGAGGAAATCTATATGGAACAACCTCTAGGTTTCGTGAAAAAAGGCGAAGAGCATAAAGTATGCCGACTTCGTAGGTCGATTTACGGCCTTAAGCAATCTTCTAGACGATGGTATTTACGTTTTCATAATGCGATCATATCATATGATTTCACAATAGTCCACGAAGATCATTGTGTGTACATTAAAAGATCCAAAGATAAGTTTGTAATCTTATCATTGTATGTAGACGACATACTTATAGCTGCAAGTCACATCGAGTATATAAAAGAGATAAAAGAGTGGTTATCTTCTACTTTTGAGATGAAGGATATGGGTGAAGCACCATACATTCTTGGAGTTAAGATTTCAAGAGAGCGTTCAAAGAGATTGTTGTCTCTTTCCCAAGAACCTTACATTAAGAAAGTTCTTGAACGTTTTAGTATGCAAGATTGCAAACCCATAAACACTCCTATTTCTAGAGGTGAAGCTTTAAGCCGGAGGATGTGCCTCAGAATCCACAAGAGAAAGAACAAATGAGAAAGATTCCTTATGCCAATGCAATTGGTTGTTTAATGTATGCTATGATGTGTACAAGATCCGATATCTGTTATGCTGTTGGATTAGTTAGCAGATATCAATCTGACCCAGGACAACAACATTGGAAAGCAGTTAAAAGAATATTGAGATATTTTAAAGGCACAATCGACTATTCGTTATGTTACCAAGGAACTGATCTACAACTCAAAGGCTATACTGATGCTGATTGGGGAGGAGATTTAGATGAAATAAAATCTACCTCTGGATACACATTCTTGCTTAATAATGACGCTGTATCATGGAGTAGCAAGAAACAATCATGCATAGCCCTGTGTACAATGGAAGCTGAATTTGTAGCACTTTCAGCAGCTGTGCAGGAAGCTGTTTGGCTTAAACGTTTTCTGGTCCACTTGGGTGTGTATAACAATGTTGTTGAACCAGTAACCATTAATTGTGATAGTCAAGCTGCAACAGCCTACACAAAGGATCCTAAGTACCATGGGAAAACGAAACATATTGATATTAAGTACAATTTTGTTAGAGACATGGTTGTAAATAAAGAAGTGAGCATGAAATACATCTCTACGCACCATATGGTAGCAGATCCATTAACGAAACCTATAGCATGTGATGCTTATGAAAGACATGTAAAGTCATTGGGTTTGCGTAGATGCTAGTGTATTTATATTTTAAGTTTTTCCCAAACATGTTCATGTAAAACTACATTATTAAAGTTAATGTTAGTGATGCCTAATTATTCATTCTTTTTGGTTCATATACATATAATATTTGTTTATGTTGAGTACATAATTTTATAAGGATAAAAAGTATGTCGGACAGACAAATTGATTTGCCTATTCACACAGGAAATCGCCTCTATTATCAAGTGACTGATAGAGATGAGACAATTATAAACTTATTATTATCAGAAGCGATAATAATAGAGAGCTTGATGTTTATAATATGAATGTCGTTTTGAATTTATAGTTAATCATGTGTGATTATATTTAACAGTCTGTCTTAATGCCAGATGTGAGTTATGATAGATTGATAAAATAAAGAGTAGATTTATGAACTCAAAGTTAGACATGAAGTTGTCTGAACTATCATCTGCA